TATTAAATATATATACGTATCGTATATGATGTGAATGTGTTATAAGTAAATTTAAATATTCGATTTATGTAATTTGTATAGGATAATGGATGAAAATGCTAAGCTCACTTCTATTTGCTTATCAAATGATTGCAAATATGCCTTGGTGAATCTATCCACAAGGGTAAGAATGATTGAGAATCTATTATTGTTTAATACCTTAATGCCTTACGAATATACGTTCAAAATGCAGGAGATTCATCTATGGGACATTGAAGAGAGACGAATTGTTCGTAAATACTATGGCCAGAAACAGGAAAGGTTTGTTATTCGGTCGTGTTTTGGTGGTATTGATCAAGGGTTCATCGTCAGTGGTAGTGAAGGTCTGTACAAAATTTCAATGATTTTGTCATGCTAGTGCTTCACTTTTTTAGTGAGTGATTTTTGGTGTTTTTCAGACTCTAATATTTACGTGTGGCATCGAGAGCATGCCACAATGATCGAGATCTTGTCGGGTCATAAAGGTGCTGTTAATAGCGTTAATTGGAGTCCGGTTAATCCATACATGTTTGCATCTGCTGGAGACGATCACACAATCCGACTGTAAGTTTTACAGAAATCTTTTAAAATTTGAACCTATTTTTAAATTTATTAACTATATCCCAATTGAATATATATTTATAGATGGGGTACACCCAATGCTACGGATCATAAAGGCAAAATGAAAACATCGTGACCTTTAATTTATTGAATCGTTGTATTTAACATATACAATTCCACTTATGACAATTATTTAACAATTAACAGACGTGGCTTTATGGAACATTGTATGAGATAATAATTTTCCTTGCTTTTTTGTAAGAAATCAATTGCGAAAAGCAAACCCCTAGATTAAAGTATCTTTTAAATTTCCTATTTTCTGCTTTTAATTACACTTTTGTAGATAGGCATCCAGATTTGCTTTCAATTGTTTTATTTTTTCCTCCAACTCGTTTCGTAAAAAAAAAAAAAAAAAAAACATTTCTTTTTTTAGATTATATAAATTCGTTATCTAAATGAGAATTGTGTTATAAGGGAATTTTTCTTGTGGTTTGGATCGATTGTTAATGTACCGACCAGAGGGGTATATATCACCACTATTTTATTCAGGTCGCATACCGATATATACACAATCACAATGCTGTACATGCTAAAAAATATTTATAATAATGTTGACCAACATTAAGCTCATTAAAGCTGTAAAAATATTACATGAATCGTTATTTACCATTTAACTTTTAAAGATATCGAGTGAAACAAGCCCATTTTTCATCCAACAGGGGTCTGGCCAAACCTTTGATAATAAACAAACTAGTTAATCTTTAAATATATATATATTATGGATAATTTTTAGACTTACTCTTGCAAATACTCTTCCTTTAATTAGAGCATAAGGTACGGGTCCATAATTTCTAGAGTCAGTAGAATTACTCAAATTATCACCTTGTAACCAAACATGACCAGAAGGTACCTAATATGTGTAAATGAATTGAAATATGGCTTACAAGAATAGCAATGCTTGAAGGAAATGCCTGACTTACAGTAATATATCTTCGATT